GGCAAGGGCCACTCATCTCCTGATCTCCTTACATTTTTGGTGCAAACATGGACCAAACAGCTGAATTCCAAATGAGTGTGACTTTCCTGCCATCTTAAAGCTCTATTTGACTGAGCATTTTATCAAGGAATCATAGCAAAACTAGAGTCAACGGGATTCAGAGAATATTATTCTCGCTTTATTTGTGGGTTTTTGAAAAGATTGCGTCTTCAGACCTGAATAGATCAAAACAAGGTGAATTTATTCAAGCTTGTACCACATATTTGTGGAAGAGGTCTCCTAGTCCAGCTTGGAGATCCTCTACCATTTACAGCTCAAAACAGCATATTGAGACGTTTTCATGTCAGGATGGTTGTATATAACATTGGCATAAAATAAATTAGATAACAGTCATTTACTACAAAAACAGGATGCTGTTCAGTTTCTTACGAAGTCCTGAGTCCTCTCATTTCAGAGTTTCTCTGTCCCTACCATCAGCTCACAGCACGCAAGCCTTTCTTTGTGAGTCATACTTAAGTGAGTATTTTTAGCTAGTAACAGCTGACGGTTCACTGTTATAGATATGCATTTAAACTACCTGAGACGAAATAACTGTCATTACATGGTTGTATTTGACTCTTAGCCCTATGCTGTACTGTTCGTCCAAGCTTATCTCCCACTTGTTCTATGTTTTAATGCTCCACTCCTTTCCTTTTATATTTTTATATTCCCCTTGTGCACTCTCCTATCCTCCTTGCCCGACTTCACCCTAATTGGATAATACTGAATACAGAGGAAGGTGCTTGTGATTGGTTAGAGGCCAGCTATCTCAGCTTCAGAAATTCCTCAGCATCGGTTTCTGGTCCCAAGCACCTTCAGCTGTTTCATCAATGTCCTTCCCTGCGTCATAAGGTCAGAAGTGGATATGTTTGTCAATGATTGCACGATGTTTAGCACCATTTGTGACTCAGCTACTGTAGTGGTGGATATTTAAATGCAGTGTCCCTGGACAACATTGAAGTTAGCCTGCTACGTGACAAAGAACATTTGCACCAAGTCCCAGCAACTAATGACCAAATCTGAGAAATAAAAATCGAACCATAACTCATTGACATTCAATGGTTTTATCTTCACTGAATTGCCCACTATCATCATCCTGGGGTGCTAGTAGTGATGAGAAACTGAACTGGGTGTGATATTTAAATATTGTGCCTACAAAAGTAGGTCAGAGGGAAAAGATTGTATAGTGATTAGTTCAACTCATGACTCCACAAAGCCTGTGCATCATTAAGAATGTCTGTCATTAAGAACACTGTCAATTTGCTTGGATGGATGCCGCTTCAATGACACCAAGAAACCTGACACTATCCACGACAATGCAGTCCATTTAACTGGTGCCCCATTCAGTACTTTCAGCATTTACTCCCTTCATTACTGAGGTGCAGTGGCGGCAGAGTGCACTATGTACCAAATGCACTGCAGTTCCTCACTCACTCTCCTTTGACAGCACTTTCCAAGCCTGCAAGCTCTTACCACCCTGAAGGACAAGAGCATAGAATGCATCAAAACAACACCATCTGCAAGTTCTCCTCCAGGGTGCATACCATCGACTTGGAGCAGTATCAATAATGATCTCATTGAGTGGTGCAGTGAACTTGATGGGCCAAAAAGCCTGTGGCTGCCCTGGATCTTCTATCGTGATTTTTTCAAAAAAAGTTGACTAACACAATGACCAGACTTGTGCTCAGTCTTCCAGCTGTTCTCTGAACTGGT